TATATATATAAATATATATATCACATCTAGTAACATATTCACGATGGTCGTTGCCATCCCCCGTAGATCAGTGGTCTCAACCACGGACTGACTGCGGGTTCGAGCCCTACCAAGGGTCCGATGGAATGCGCACTTCTGATGATTCCCGAAAGGATGAAATGCGCGTACAGTGCTTTTCCGGGCGTGTGGCGGCTGTCTGAGTGAGTCTAGATGTGACGAATTTCTACCTATACCATTCAACTCACCCTACTACTCTTCTGTAATCAGTTTAGTTAACTCATTTGATGGGCAAGATTAGCACAAATTTCGAGAGCTCCATGACGCTTATAAAACTTACCTTTTGTCTTTCAGTGTTCAACTAAGTGCATGTTATTAACACGCAACGCATATAAGTATCTGCTATGCAGTTGACAGTAGAGCCTGAAAAATCGAGACCATATACTACTTTCGCGTCCAGACGTCGCAGAAGCAGCTTTACTCTTGGGCTCAGTTCGCACTCTAGTTATCAAGCTCGATGTGAAATGGGCTTGGAAATCGAAATTCTCCTCTAGGCCTGCTGACACATTCCGACACTGAGTCGATCGTCGCGTGAGAGCACGTGGCTATGCGATTAGCACTAGCATATAAAACGTCATTAATTGAGACACTCAAACTGTCAGTGGGAGTGCGGATTAATTTCACATTCGTCAGTACCAGTGTCTAACGAGATAATACAGTGGGAACCTGTTCTATCGGAGTACCAGTAAGCGGTGAGGAACCTTGCAGGAAATGTGAGTCTGTCAAATTTGTTGCATCGAACTAGACTACGTACTTTCAAGCACGACCCCTTAAAACTTCCAGTGCTTCTCACGACATAACTACAAGTGAGGACATCGCAAACTGAACTGTTAAAACTATTTTTAGTATTTGCTGACTACGTAACCGTATAGATTTAACATGTTTAGCCAGGGGTCACAATTGTTATGCATCGTGAGCTGTCTTGCACGTGAACAAGCTGTGAATAGCGCCTCACTTAGCGCATAGTTTTCCGGTTGTCACGCATGTCACGCAAATTCAGCGAGACTATATCAAGACAAAAGATGGCGATCCATACTTAGAGGCTGAATTTACATTCGCAGAAAACAATACTACCGTAATGTTGCCTACCGAGTTGCGAAGGTATGCGGTAACGTTGATTTGTAAACAGGGCAAAATGTTCAAAATATTAACGATAACATACTTAATTGGATAATACTAGCAATCCAAACTGAGCAAATGGGGAACTGTGTGATTCAGTAAACCCATCAAATGCGGACCACTGTTACTAACAAGACGGGAAGTACAAAGACATAAACCCAATATCCCGCTATGAAAATGAGAAAGTTTTGGAATTAAGGACGACTGCCACTAGCTCGACAGTAACATGGCTCCAGGTACGCGTGCTAGGTTGGCAAAATCATGGCAGTATGCTTTACTCTGCTAAGAAGAGATTGTCTATACTACTAGCCTGTTGACAATGAGTCAATTTGCACCATTCTAATACGAACCTTTCGGGACACAGCCGGAAATTCACGGATAATGTGTGCCGAGGTGTTAGTAATGAGTGAGGAACGCTATGAATTCAACCACAATGGCGAACAAGTTTATACAAACTTTTCAGAAGAGCAAAGACAACAGTGGCACGATGGCATATCACAGAATAGAGTGATGTTGCGACATTTCCGCTGTGACCAACTGTAGTTGTACTACTGGCCGGGCGCCTAGGGTAAACGTAGCAGGAGTAGCGAAACTACGTTTCGTTGGCAATGTATCCGTCCCGTAAGGAAATTGCTGGATAACGATGGGAGTGAGCCGCATCGATCTACAAGTCCACTTTTAACCTTCTTTAGCTCGCGATATTCCACACGAAAACTTGCCGCGATTCTACGGATTGTATGCTCGTTAAACCCGCACCGGTTCAGTACGTATTCGCTCCAGAGCACTTGAGAATGTTCAGACCTAAAGACCGGTGGTGGCGAAGAATATGTTGACGAAATCTCAGCATAAATATCCCGAGTCATACTTTGGAGGCATCGTTTGTCTACCGATATTTCGATTCACAGAACTATCGGAGGATGGCTGCGATCTGCGAGTACAAGTGACCATGCAAGTTCCCGAAATGAGACAACATAACTTGAGCCAGTAATACCTGACCCACTAACGCATACTTCAGCTTCATGTGCAGTGAAAACGGTTCGTTCCATGAGTGTGCCGAGTAGGTGTGTATAAATCTGATATCGAATCAGGTGACGCATTGTACACACAGCCTAGTCTTCAGTGACTTTTCGACGTGTCTGTCCCGATAGGAAAGATGTGAACACCAGAGAAAAATTGCCTGGTACGTTCATCCAATTGTTGGTTACCTAGTGGCTCGTAGAAATTAGCATAAATCGGTGGACAAAGCCATTTTTGCTTACGCAGGTGAGGCGATGCCAGGGGATTCCTCTCTTTGTTATCAGGAGGACCGGCACTTCAGGAGAAAACGTCCCCGGCTAATCATTCGCAATGTTGCAGTATTGGATAGGGCACCCTCTGTTGTTGCACCTAGTGTAAGTCTTAAGAGGAGCATTTCGACGACATTCACCATGTATTCATTCAGTTCGTTGTAAGAAGTGTGATGGGTAACAAACTTGGTGCGTTTCGTCAAGACCTTAGGCAGGAACGTTCCAACTTCTTTTCTACCAAATAACATGGATACGAATCGTTCCCGGTACATCGGAGCTACCGTACTAGAAGAGGATGGTTATTACCGTTGCTTTGGAATTAACTTATGCGGCGGAAAACACTGCTGCACTTCCATTCGAAATATGCATGTTAACCATTGGCTTGACTACGACCTTATGATGCAGTGCACCTCATAAGGTTGAATTGAATGGTCGGAATTCATTCGTGTGTGTGCACATACGAACAGTATGGTGCCTCAGACACTGAATGATAAGAAATTCCATGCAAGTCATAACGTTTGTGGTGAAGTAGGCTAACGCCTAATATCCTATAAGGTGAGAAACTACATAATCTCTTATTTACTCTGCCACAATTTGAACACTATGTAGACCTGCAGTTCTTTGTAGTTGCTGGTTGCTGAACTAATGCCCCGTCCAGTTTGGATGCCACGAAGAAGTAGACGGATCCATTCCCATTGACGTATGTTAATGCCCACACAAATTAATAATGGAAGAAAAGGAGGAAAAGTGCGAAGGAACGCTGCTAGGCGTTGAAGTTGGTACACCTTAATGTGCGGTTGTTCTTCGATCGATTAGGTGCTGGCTGGAGTTTTAAAAGACGGTCAATACAGCTGACTAAGGGTATTGTCCTACCAAATCTTGTGTGTCAAAACGATGAGGTTACCACAGATCCACCAAAACGTCTTTCAATTTATCACCCATCTTAGACATACTACGGGACTTGTTAAGCAACTTTCTACCTCTTCGCGGCTCTCACGAACACCACAAACATGAAGACGTAAACTTGTCGTATCACCTGCGTGCTACCAGCTTAATTGTTAACGGGCATTTGCTCGGCAGTACTTCATACAAAAATAGCAATATGTGGTCTTAAGGCACATTTTGTTCGTAACTGGCTTCCCCCAATTCTAAGCGCATGTTCCAACCAATCGACCGTCTGCTGAGGCAAAAACAGTAGTTAACCAAACGTGCTCATTATGATAATGGAGTTGATCGGTGGTGTAGAAAATTACATCTGCGTCGCCTAATAGGGATCTTGGAGCGAGTTTCAAAACTGTCCTAACCAGCTCTTATAGTAAGGGATCACACGGTATGCAGTTGTGGTCATTCTATTCCATTGGAAGAAGTCCAAGTACACCGTTTGTGTATACAATATGATATTATGTGATACACAGGTTCTGACAGCGCTGGATCCTTCACTCTGATTGGCTATTTGTTATCCGCACTGGTCATCCGCACTTCGGTACATCCTGTAGGAATTTTCTGGATAAAGCATGGTCTTCGTCGAGTTCAGATGTAGGAAGCATTCACATATACTGCATAATGCTCTTGTGTTAACCAGGACTTGATTGCGTAAAGTAAGGAATTAAACGGGACGCATACAAACATTGCACTTAAGTTGAAGATGAGAAACACACTTCAGCATATGTGTCGCAATACAAAAAATAAGAGGTATAAAAAGCGAGGCACAAAGTGATGCAGAATCTAATGTACAAAGCCAATATAGGAAAACATATGGTGCAGCAAGTGTGAGAACGTGGTTAAAGGTGGAAGACAAGCGGGAGGGGGTGGGACAAAGAAATTCAGAACACGAATGCAATTGAAGTCGGCTCTACGCCATGTCAAAATATGTATCCAACAAAACATGTTCATCCTCCTTGTGACCACAGCCCGGTAGTCGGGACGCACCAATGGACAAAAAAGTCGAAGTGAGGGATGTCATACTTCTTGACTAAGTCATCGCTTTGCTTCCCCTCTTCTCCTTCCATCCACACCACTGCCGCGCAAATAGCGCAAACTCGCGGGAATCGGTGTGCTGGCATACTCAACAAGTGGCTCCCACATCCGAGCCTGGTGCGTTCTATAATGGTGCTGAGCGGTTCACTCACTCTTCCTGCACCAAATACACGACGCCGAATACGCTCATTGCTCAGTCGGTGTCCCCATTGGATGCCAGCTATGCTGCGAAGGCAGAGACGGTCGAACGTAAGTTGCCTCTTTATGTCTGTTAACTTGATGGGCCAAGTTTCGCAACCGTACGGGAGAGCTGAACGGACAGCTGCATTGAAAGCTCTGCCCCTCAAGGTGATAATGTCAAGCAGGCTCAACAGGTGTCGGAATTTGGTAGAAACGCCTCAAGCTTTTGCTACATGGTTGGTGATCTCATCTCCGATCCCGCTGGAGCTAATGTAGCTGCCGAGATACTTGAATTCCGGACGATTCATACCTGGTCAACACTAATACATCAATACGTCTACCACTTACCATAACACTTCCAATGCCAATGCAACAGACAATATGACAGACGAAACGCTCCTCAACACCGCCCACACCGTATACGACCAAACGCATACCAAATCCCGCACACACCTGCACACAATGCACACCTCAGACACATCCGACTCAACGACAACATACACAGCCACACCAACGCCCACTCTTACTACGACGCATACACACTCACACAGTCCACTGCACAACACCACACTACACCAAACACCAACCATTGCAACCAACACCCACATGATAGACACCACATACAATCATACTTCACCCACACACTACACCACACATACACCCACTCACACATCCATCTCCACGCCTACGTACACACCCACTCACAATTACACTAACACAACCGCATACACACCCACCAACAATCCAACACACACGCCCACATCGACTCACACACTCACACCTACTCACACGCTACCTACCATATCTTCCACACACAGTAGCAACACCATGACCACGCAACATGCTACCACCAATTATACTGCGACCACAAACAACACAAATACCACACCATACCATCATCCCAGCCAAACCAACATACATTACGCCGCCATCACAAACACAAACACATACGCCTACACCACCAGTACCACTGCTCATGCGGATGAAAATACCAATACAACCACACATACCGACAGCCTCAGCAACAACACTACTCAAACCGACATCGCTACTTTCAGCACCACTCCAACTGCATCCACACCAACACCAACACCTCACACTCCACACCATACCCACCAATACCATCACACCAAACTCACAACCGGAACCATACACACTCACGCAAGCACAAACACCAGCGACTATCAGACATCCCCACTGCGGATGCTCACATCAACACCACACTCATACACCAACAACAACACCGACACAAACACTCACGCCGACCCCAACGCCATGCACACACAGGCACAATACGACTACACAGACACAACCAATGCACCACCATCCACACACACTCTACTTCACAAAGACTACGACCAAATGCACATACACAACACCACCTCAACACCTCTCACACTTTCAACAACCAACACTACCACACACACATACTGGCCGCACAAAGACACACCATTACTCAGCCAATCGCACTCTATCACGCACAACAACACTTCCACATACAATCCAACAGACACAAATACGACACATACAGCCACTCTTGCATCACAGCCCACTGACACATTCACAAACACCAATTCCACTACCTTTCACACCACTACTCCAATTTCAACCCTCACCACAAACAACCGCACTGCACGCACACACCCACATTCTGACGCATTACCCTCCCAATCCGACACAGATTATACAAACACAACAAGCACCACTACTTCAACAAACACAATCTCCGCTACAACACATTCACCCTACACTTACATCAGCGCCCCATCCACAAACACAACAATCACCAACACAGATACACAAGCCACATCAGAACACCATACCCAATATACCACCCAACACGCTCACTACATCAATACGTCTACCACTTACCATAACACTTCCAATGCCAATGCAACAGACAATATGACAGACGAAACGCTCCTCAACACCGCCCACACCGTATACGACCAAACGCATACCAAATCCCGCACACACCTGCACACAATGCACACCTCAGACACATCCGACTCAACGACAACATACACAGCCACACCATCGCCCACTCATACTACGACGCATACACACTCACACAGTCCACTGCACAACACCACACTACACCAAACACCAACCATTGCAACCAACACCCACATGATAGACACCACATACAATCATACTTCACCCACACACTACACCACACATACACCCACTCACACATCCATCTCCACGCCTACGTACACACCCACTCACAATTACACAAACTCAACCGCACACACACCCACCAACAATCCAACACACACGCCCACATCGACTCACACATTCACACCTACTCATACGCTAACTACCATATCTTCCACACACAGTAGCAACACCATGACCACGCAACATGCCACCACCAATTATACTGCGACCACAAACAACACAAATACCACACCATACCATCATCCCAGCCAAACCAACATACATTACGCCGCCATCACAAACACAAACACATACGCCTACACCAACAGTACCACTGCCCATCCGGATGAAAATACCAATACAACCACACATACCGACAGCCTCAGCAACAACACTACTCAAACCGACATCGCTACTTTCAGCACCACTCCAACTGCATCCACACCAACACCAACACCTCACACTCCACACCATACCCACCAATACGATCACACCAAACTCACAACCGGAACCATACACACTCACGCAAGCACAAACACCAGCGACTATCAGACATCCCCACTGCGGATGCTCACATCAACACCACACTCATACACCAACAACAACACCGACACAAACACTCACGCCGACCCCAACGCCATGCACACACAGGCACAATACGACTACACAGACACAACCAATGCACCACCATCCACACACACTCTACTTCACAAAGACTACGACCAAATGCACATACACAACACCACCTCAACACCTCTCACACTTTCTACAACCAACACTACCACACACACATACTGGCCGCACAAAGACACACCATTACTCAGCCAATCGCACTCTATCACGCACAACAACACTTCCACATACAATCCAACAGACACAAATACGACACATACAGCCACTCTTGCATCACAGCCCACTGACACATTCACAAACACCAATTCCACTACCTTTCACACCACTACTCCAATTTCAACCCTCACCACAAACAACCGCACTGCACGCACACACCCACATTCTGACGCATTACCCTCCCAATCCGACACAGATTATACAAACACAACAAGCACCACTACTTCAACAAACACAATCTCCGCTACAACACATTCACCCTACACTTACATCAGCGCCCCATCCACAAACACAACAATCACCAACACAGAAACACAAGCCACATCAGAACACCATACCCAATATACCACCCAACACGCTCACTACATCAATACGTCTACCACTTACCATAACACTTCCAATGCCAATGCAACAGACAATATGACAGACGAAACACTCCTCAACACCGCCCACACCGTATACGACCAAACGCATACCAAATCCCGCACACACCTGCACACAATGCACACCTCAGACACATCCGACTCAACGACAACATACACAGCCACACCATCGCCCACTCATACTACGACGCATACACACTCACATAGTCCACTGCACAACACCACACTACACCAAACACCAACCATTGCAACCAACACCCACATGATAGACACCACATACAATCATACTTCACCCACACACTACACCACACATACACCCACTCACACATCCATCTCCACGCCTACGTACACACCCACTCACAATTACACAAACTCAACCGCACACACACCCACCAACAATCCAACACACACGCCCACATCGACTCACACATTCACACCTACTCATACGCTAACTACCATATCTTCCACACACAGTAGCAACACCATGACCACGCAACATGCCACCACCAATTATACTGCGACCACAAACAACACAAATACCACACCATACCATCATCCCAGCCAAACCAACATACATTACGCCGCCATCACAAACACAAACACATACGCCTACACCACCAGTACCACTGCTCATCCGGATGAAAATACCAATACAACCACACATACCGACAGCCTCAGCAACAACACTTCTCAAACCGACATCGCTACTTTCAGCACCACTCCAACTGCATCCACACCAACACCAACACCTCACACTCCACACCATACCCACCAATACCATCACACCAAACTCACAACCGGAACCATACACACTCACGCAAGCACAAACACCAGCGACTATCAGACATCCCCACTGCGGATGCTCACATCAACACCACACTCATACACCAACAACAACACCGACACAAACACTCACGCCGACCCCAACGCCATGCACACACAGGCACAATACGACTACACAGACACAACCAATGCACCACCATCCACACACACTCTACTTCACAAAGACTACGACCAAATGCACATACACAACACCACCTCAACACCTCTCACACTTTCAACAACCAACACTACCACACACACATACTGGCCGCACAAAGACACACCATTACTCAGCCAATCGCACTCTATCACGCACAACAACACTTCCACATACAATCCAACAGACACAAATACGACACATACAGCCACTCTTGCATCAAAGCCCACTGACACATTCACAAACACCAATTCCACTACCTTTCACACCACTACTCCAATTTCAACCCTCACCACAAACAACCGCACTGCACGCACACACCCACATTCTGACGCATTACCCTCCCAATCCGACACAGATTATACAAACACAACAAGCATCACTACTTCAACAAACACAATCTCCGCTACAACACATTCACCCTACACTTACATCAGCGCCCCATCCACAAACACAACAATCACCAACACAGAAACACAAGCCACATCAGAACACCATACCCAATATACCACCCAACACGCTCACTACATCAATACGTCTACCACTTACCATAACACTTCCAATGCCAATGCAACAGACAATATGACAGACGAAACGCTCCTCAACACCGCCCACACCGTATACGACCAAACGCATACCAAATCCCGCACACACCTGCACACAATGCACACCTCAGACACATCCGACTCAACGACAACATACACAGCCACACCATCGCCCACTCATACTACGACGCATACACACTCACATAGTCCACTGCACAACACCACACTACACCAAACACCAACCATTGCAACCAACACCCACATGATAGACACCACATACAATCATACTTCACCCACACACTACACCACACATACACCCACTCACACATCCATCTCCACGCCTACGTACACACCCACTCACAATTACACAAACTCAACCGCACACACACCCACCAACAATCCAACACACACGCCCACATCGACTCACACATTCACACCTACTCACACGCTACCTACCATATCTTCCACACACAGTAGCAACACCATGACCACGCAACATGCTACCACCAATTATACTGCGACCACAAACAACACAAATACCACACCATACCATCATCCCAGCCAAACCAACATACATTACGCCGCCATCACAAACACAAACACATACGCCTACACCACCAGTACCACTGCCCATCCGGATGAAAATACCAATACAACCACACATACCGACAGCCTCAGCAACAACACTACTCAAACCGACATCGCTACTTTCAGCACCACTCCAACTGCATCCACACCAACACCAACACCTCACACTCCACACCATACCCACCAATACGATCACACCAAACTCACAACCGGAACCATACACACTCACGCAAGCACAAACACCAGCGACTATCAGACATCCCCACTGCGGATGCTCACATCAACACCACACTCATACACCAACAACAACACCGACACAAACACTCACGCCGACCCCAACGCCATGCACACACAGGCACAATACGACTACACAGACACAACCAATGCACCACCATCCACACACACTCTACTTCACAAAGACTACGACCAAATGCACATACACAACACCACCTCAACACCTCTCACACTTTCAACAACCAACACTACCACACACACATACTGGCCGCACAAAGACACACCATTACTCAGCCAATCGCACTCTATCACGCACAACAACACTTCCACATACAATCCAACAGACACAAATACGACACATACAGCCACTCTTGCATCACAGCCCACTGACACATTCACAAACACCAATTCCACTACCTTTCACACCACTACTCCAATTTCAACCCTCACCACAAACAACCGCACTGCACGCACACACCCACATTCTGACGCATTACCCTCCCAATCCGACACAGATTATACAAACACAACAAGCATCACTACTTCAACAAACACAATCTCCGCTACAACACATTCACCCTACACTTACATCAGCGCCCCATCCACAAACACAACAATCACCAACACAGATACACAAGCCACATCAGAACACCATACCCAATATACCACCCAACACGCTCACTACATCAATACGTCTACCACTTACCATAACACTTCCAATGCCAATGCAACAGACAATATGACAGACGAAACGCTCCTCAACACCGCCCACACCGTATACGACCAAACGCATACCAAATCCCGCACACACCTGCACACAATGCACACCTCAGACACATCCGACTCAACGACTACATACACAGCCACACCAACGCCCACTCTTACTACGACGCATACACACTCACACAGTCCACTGCACAACACCACACTACACCAAACACCAACCATTGCAACCAACACCCACATGATAGACACCACATACAATCATACTTCACCCACACACTACACCACACATACACCCACTCACACATCCATCTCCACGCCTACGTACACACCCACTCACAATTACACTAACACAACCGCACACACACCCACCAACAATCCAACACACACGCCCACATCGACTCACACATTCACACCTACTCATACGCTACCTACCATATCTTCCACACACAGTAGCAACACCATGACCACGCAACATGCTACCACCAATTATACTGCGACCACAAACAACACAAATACCACACCATACCATCATCCCAGCCAAACCAACATACATTACGCCGCCATCACAAACACAAACACATACGCCTACACCACCAGTACCACTGCTCATGCGGATGAAAATACCAATACAACCACACATACCGACAGCCTCAGCAACAACACTACTCAAACCGACATCGCTACTTTCAGCACCACTCCAACTGCATCCACACCAACACCAACACCTCACACTCCACACCATACCCACCAATACGATCACACCAAACTCACAACCGGAACCATACACACTCACGCAAGCACAAACACCAGCGACTATCAGACATCCCCACTGCGGATGCTCACATCAACACCACACTCATACACCAACAACAACACCGACACAAACACTCACGCCGACCCCAACGCCATGCACACACAGGCACAATACGACTACACAGACACAACCAATGCACCACCATCCACACACACTCTACTTCACAAAGACTACGACCAAATGCACATACACAACACCACCTCAACACCTCTCACAATTTCAACAACCAACACTACCACACACACATACTGGCCGCACAAAGACACACCATTACTCAGCCAATCGCACTCTATCACGCACAACAACACTTCCACATACAATCCAACAGACACAAATACGACACATACAGCCACTCTTGCATCAAAGCCCACTGACACATTCACAAACACCAATTCCACTACCTTTCACACCACTACTCCAATTTCAACCCTCACCACAAACAACCGCACTGCACGCACACACCCACATTCTGACGCATTACCCTCCCAATCCGACACAGATTATACAAACACAACAAGCATCACTACTTCAACAAACACAATCTCCGCTACAACACATTCACCCTACACTTACATCAGCGCCCCATCCACAAACACAACAATCACCAACACAGAAACACAAGCCACATCAGAACACCATACCCAATATACCACCCAACACGCTCACTACATCAATACGTCTACCACTTACCATAACACTTCCAATGCCAATGCAACAGACAATATGACAGACGAAACACTCCTCAACACCGCCCACACCGTATACGACCAAACGCATACCAAATCCCGCACACACCTGCACACAATGCACACCTCAGACACATCCGACTCAACGACAACATACACAGCCACACCATCGCCCACTCATACTACGACGCATACACACTCACACAGTCCACTGCACAACACCACACTACACCAAACACCAACCATTGCAACCAACACCCACATGATAGACACCACATACAATCATACTTCACCCACACACTACACCACACATACACCCACTCACACATCCATCTCCACGCCTACGTACACACCCACTCACAATTACACAAACTCAACCGCACACACACCCACCAACAATCCAACACACACGCCCACATCGACCCACACATTCACACCTACTCACACGCTACCTACCATATCTTCCACACACAGTAGCAACACCATGACCACGCAACATGCTACCACCAATTATACTGCGACCACAAACAACACAAATACCACACCATACCATCATCCCAGCCAAACCAACATACATTACGCCGCCATCACAAACACAAACACATACGCCTACACCACCAGTACCACTGCTCATCCGGATGAAAATACCAATACAACCACACATACCGACAGCCTCAGCAACAACACTACTCAAACCGACATCGCTACTTTCAGCACCACTCCAACTGCATCCACACCAACACCAACACCTCACACTCCACACCATACCCACCAATACGATCACACCAAACTCACAACCGGAACCATACACACTCACGCAAGCACAAACACCAGCGACTATCAGACATCCCCACTGCGGATGCTCACATCAACACCACACTCATACACCAACAACAACACCGACACAAACACTCACGCCGACCCCAACGCCATGCACACACAGGCACAATACGACTACACAGACACAACCAATGCACCACCATCCACACACACTCTACTTCACAAAGACTACGACCAAATGCACATACACAACACCACCTCAACACCTCTCACACTTTCTACAAACAACACTACCACACACACATACTGGCCGCACAAAGACACACCATTACTCAGCCAATCGCACTCTATCACGCACAACAACACTTCCACATACAATCCAACAGACACAAATACGACACATACAGCCACTCTTGCATCACAGCCCACTGACACATTCACAAACACCAATTCCACTACCTTTCACACCACTACTCCAATTTCAACCCTCACCACAAACAACCGCACTGCACGCACACACCCACATTCTGACGCATTACCCTCCCAATCCGACACAGATTATACAAACACAACAAGCACCACTACTTCAACAAACACAATCTCCGCTACAACACATTCACCCTACACTTACATCAGCGCCCCATCCACAAACACAACAATCACCAACACAGAAACACAAGCCACATCAGAACACCATACCCAATATACCACCCAACACGCTCACTACAGCAATACGTCTACCACTTACCATAACACTTCCAATGCCAATGCAACAGACAATATGACAGACGAAACACTCCTCAACACCGCCCACACCGTATACGACCAAACGCATACCAAATCCCGCACACACCTGCACACAATGCACACCTCAGACACATCCGACTCAACGACAACATACACAGCCACACCATCGCCCACTCATACTACGACGCATACACACTCACATAGTCCACTGCACAACACCACACTACACCAAACACCAACCATTGCAACCAACACCCACATGATAGACACCACATACAATCATACTTCACCCACACACTACACCACACATACACCCACTCACACATCCATCTCCACGCCTACGTACACACCCACTCACAATTACACAAACTCAACCGCACACACACCCACCAACAATCCAACACACACGCCCACATCGACTCACACATTCACACCTACTCACACGCTAACTACCATATCTTCCACACACAGTAGCAACACCATGACCACGCAACATGCTACCACCAATTATACTGCGACCACAAACAACACAAATACCACACCATACCATCATCCCAGCCAAACCAACATACATTACGCCGCCATCACAAACACAAACACATACGCCTACACCACCAGTACCACTGCCCATCCGGATGAAAATACCAATACAACCACACATACCGACAGCCTCAGCAACAACACTACTCAAACCGACATCGCTACTTTCAGCACCACTCCAACTGCATCCACACCAACACCAACACCTCACACTCCACACCATACCCACCAATACGATCACACCAAACTCACAACCGGAACCATACACACTCACGCAAGCACAAACACCAGCGACTATCAGACATCCCCACTGCGGATGCTCACATCAACACCACACTCATACACCAACAACAACACCGACACAAACACTCACGCCGACCCCAACGCCATGCACACACAGGCACAATACGACTACACAGACACAACCAATGCACCACCATCCACACACACTCTACTTCACAAAGACTACGACCAAATGCACATACACAACACCACCTCAACACCTCTCACAATTTCAACAACCAACACTACCACACACACATACTGGCCGCACAAAGACACACCATTACTCAGCCAATCGCACTCTATCACGCACAACAACACTTCCACATACAATCCAACAGACACAAATACGACACATACAGCCACTCTTGCATCACAGCCCACTGACACATTCACAAACACCAATTCCACTACCTTTCACACCACTACTCCAATTTCAACCCTCACCACAAACAACCGCACTGCACGCACACACCCACATTCTGACGCATTACCCTCCCAATCCGACACAGATTATACAAACACAACAAGCATCACTACTTCAACAAACACAATCTCCGCTACAACACATTCACCCTACACTTACATCAGCGCCCCATCCACAAACACAACAATCACCAACACAGAAACACAAGCCACATCAGAACACCATACCCAATATACCACCCAACACGCTCACTACAGCAATACGTCTACCACTTACCATAACACTTCCAATGCCAATGCAACAGACAATATGACAGACGAAACGCTCCTCAACACCGCCCACACCGTATACGACCAAACGCATACCAAATCCCGCACACACCTGCACACAATGCACACCTCAGACACATCCGACTCAACGACAACATACACAGCCACACCAACGCCCACTCATACTACGACGCATACACACTCACACAGTCCACTGCACAACACCACACTACACCAAACACCAACCATTGCAACCAACACCCACATGATAGACACCACATACAATCATACTTCACCCACACACTACACCACACATACACCCACTCACACATCCATCTCCACGCCTACGTACACACCCACTCACAATTACACTAACACAACCGCACACACACCCACCAACAATCCAACACACACGCCCACATCGACTCACACATTCACACCTACTCATACGCTACCTACCATATCTTCCACACACAGTAGCAACACCATGACCACGCAACATGCCACCACCAATTATACTGCGACCACAAACAACACAAATACCACACCATACCATCATCCCAGCCAAACCAACATACATTACGCCGCCATCACAAACACAAACACATACGCCTACACCAACAGTACCACCGCCCATGCGGATGAAAATACCAATACAACCACACATACCGACAGCCTCAGCAACAACACTACTCAAACCGACATCGCTACTTTCAGCACCACTCCAACTGCATCCACACCAACACCAACACCTCACACTCCACACCATACCCACCAATACGATCACACCAAACTCACAACCGGAACCATACACACTCACGCAAGCACAAACACCAGCGACTATCAGACATCCCCACTGCGGATGCTCACATCAACACCACACTCATACACCAACAACAACACCGACACAAACACTCACGCCGACCCCAACGCCATGCACACACAGGCACAATACGACTACACAGACACAACCAATGCATCACCATCCACACACACTCTACTTCACAAAGACTACGACCAAATGCACATACACAACACCACCTCAACACCTCTCACACTTTCAACAACCAACACTACCACACACACATACTGGCCGCACAAAGACACACCATTACTCAGCCAATCGCACTCTATCACGCACAACAACACTTCCACATACAATCCAACAGACACAAATACGACACATACAGCCACTCTTGCATCACAGCCCACTGACACATTCACAAACACCAATTCCACTACCTTTCACACCACTACTCCAATTTCAACCCTCACCACAAACAACCGCACTGCACGCACACACCCACATTCTGACGCATTACCCTCCCAATCCGACACAGATTATACAAACACAACAAGCATCACTACTTCAACAAACACAATCTCCGCTACAACACATTCACCCTACACTTACATCAGCGCCCCATCCACAAACACAACAATCACCAACACAGAAACACAAGCCACATCAGAACACCATACCCAATATACCACCCAACACGCTCACTACAGCAATACGTCTACCACTTACCATAACACTTCCAATGCCAATGCAACAGACAATATGACAGACGAAACGCTCCTCAACACCGCCCACACCGTATACGACCAAACGCATACCAAATCCCGCACACACCTGCACACAATGCACACCTCAGACACATCCGACTCAACGACAACATACACAGCCACACCAACGCCCACTCTTACTACGACGCATACACACTCACACAGTCCACTGCACAACACCACACTACACCAAACACCAACCATTGCAACCAACACCCACATGATAGACACCACATACAATCATACTTCACCCACACACTACACCACACATACACCCACTCACACATCCATCTCCACGCCTACGTACACACCCACTCACAATTACACAAACACAACCGCACACACACCCACCAACAATCCAACACACACGCCCACATCGACTCACACATTCACACCTACTCATACGCTACCTACCATATCTTCCACACACAGTAGCAACACCATGACCACGCAACATGCCACCACCAATTATACTGCGACCACAAACAACACAAATACCACACCATACCATCATCCCAGCCAAACCAACATACATTACGCCGCCATCACAAACACAAACACATACGCCTACACCACCAGTACCACTGCCCATCCGGATGAAAATACCAATACAACCACACATACCGACAGCCTCAGCAACAACACTACTCAAACCGACATCGCTACTTTCAGCACCACTCCAACTGCATCCACACCAACACCAACACCTCACACTCCACACCATACCCACCAATACGATCACACCAAACTCACAACCGGAACCATACACACTCACGCAAGCACAAACACCAGCGACTATCAGACATCCCCACTGCGGATGCTCACATCAACACCACACTCATACACCAACAACAACACCGACACAAACACTCACGCCGACCCCAACGCCATGCACACACAGGCACAATACGACTACACAGACACAACCAATGCATCACCATCCACACACACTCTACTTCACAAAGACTACGACCAAATGCACATACACAACACCACCTCAACACCTCTCACACTTTCAACAACCAACACTACCACACACACATACTGGCCGCACAAAGACACACCATTACTCAGCCAATCGCACTCTATCACGCACAACAACACTTCCACATACAATCCAACAGACACAAATACGACACATACAGCCACTCTTGCATCAAAGCCCACTGACACATTCACAAACACCAATTCCACTACCTTTCACACCACTACTCCAATTTCAACCCTCACCACAAACAACCGCACTGCACGCACACACCCACATTCTGACGCATTACCCTCCCAATCCGACACAGATTATACAAACACAACAAGCACCACTACTTCAACAAACACAATCTCCGCTACAACACATTCACCCTACACTTACATCAGCGCCCCATCCACAAACACAACAATCACCAACACAGATACACAAGCCACATCAGAACACCATACCCAATATACCACCCAACACGCTCACTACAGCAATACGTCTACCACTTACCATAACACTTCCAATGCCAATGCAACAGACAATATGACAGACGAAACGCTCCTCAACACCGCCCACACCGTATACGACCAAACGCATACCAAATCCCGCACACACCTGCACACAATGCACACCTCAGACACATCCGACTCAACGACAACATACACAGCCACACCATCGCCCACTCATACTACGACGCATACACACTCACACAGTCCACTGCACAACACCACACTACACCAAACACCAACCATTGCAACCAACACCCACATGATAGACACCACATACAATCATACTTCACCCACACACTACACCACACATACACCCACTCACACATCCATCTCCACGCCTACGTACACACCCACTCACAATTACACTAACACAACCGCACACACACCCACCAACAATCCAACACACACGCCCACATCGACTCACACATTCACACCTACTCACACGCTACCTACCATATCTTCCACACACAGTAGCAACACCATGACCACGCAACATGCTACCACCAATTATACTGCGACCACAAACAACACAAATACCACACCATACCATCATCCCAGCCAAACCAACATACATTACGCCGCCATCACAAACACAAACACATACGCCTACACCACCAGTACCACTGCCCATGCAGGTGAAAATACCAATACAACCACACATACCGACAGCCTCAGCAACAACACTACTCAAACCGACATCGCTACTTTCAGCACCACTCCAACTGCATCCACACCAACACCAACACCTCACACTCCACACCATACCCACCAATACGATCACACCAAACTCACAACCGGAACCATACACACTCACGCAAGCACAAACACCAGCGACTATCAGACATCCCCACTGCGGATGCTCACATCAACACCACACTCATACACCAACAACAACACCGACACAAACACTCACGCCGACCCCAACGCCATGCACACACAGGCACAATACGACTACACAGACACAACCAATGCACCACCATCCACACACACTCTACTTCACAAAGACTACGACCAAATGCACATACACAACACCACCTCAACACCTCTCACACTTTCAACAACCAACACTACCACACACACATACTGGCCGCACAAAGACACACCATTACTCAGCCAATCGCACTCTATCACGCACAACAACACTTCCACATACAATCCAACAGACACAAATACGACACATACAGCCACTCTTGCATCACAGCCCACTGACACATTCACAAACACCAATTCCACTACCTTTCACACCACTACTCCTATTTCAACCCTCACCACAAACAACCGCACTGCACGCACACACCCACATTCTGACGCATTACCCTCCCAATCCGACACAGATTATACAAACACAACAAGCACCACTACTTCAACAAACACAATCTCCGCTACAACACATTCACCCTACACGAACATCAGCGCCCCATCCACAAACACAACAATCACCAACACAGAAACACAAGCCACATCAGAACACCATACCCAATATACCACCCAACACGCTCACTACATCAATACGTCTACCACTTACCATAACACTTCCAATGCCAATGCAACAGACAATATGACAGACGAAACGCTCCTCAACACCGCCCACACCGTATACGACCAAACGCATACCAAATCCCGCACACACCTGCACACAATGCACACCTCAGACACATCCGACTCAACGACAACATACACAGCCACACCATCGCCCACTCTTACTACGACGCATACACACTCACACAGTCCACTGCACAACACCACACTACACCAAACACCAACCATTGCAACCAACACCCACATGATAGACACCACATACAATCATACTTCACCCACACACTACACCACACATACACCCACTCACACATCCATCTCCACGCCTACGTACACACCCACTCACAATTACACAAACACAACCGCACACACACCCACCAACAATCCAACACACACGCCCACATCGACTCACACATTCACACCTACTCACACGCTACCTACCATATCTTCCACACACAGTAGCAACACCATGACCACGCAACATGCTACCACCAATTATACTGCGACCACAAACAACACAAATACCACACCATACCATCATCCCAGCCAAACCAACATACATTACGCCGCCATTACAAACACAAACACATACGCCTACACCACCAGTACCACTGCCCATGCGGATGAACATACCAATACAACCACACATACCGACAGCCTCAGCAACAACACTACTCAAACCGACATCGCTACTTTCAGCACCACTCCAACTGCATCCACACCAACACCAACACCTCACACTCCACACCATACCCACCAATACGATCACACCAAACTCACAACCGGAACCATACACACTCACGCAAGCACAAACACCAGCGACTATCAGACATCCCCACTGCGGATGCTCACATCAACACCACACTCATACACCAACAACAACACCGACACAAACACTCACGCCGACCCCAACGCCATGCACACACAGGCACAATACGACTACACAGACACAACCAATGCACCACCATCCACACACACTCTACTTCACAAAGACTACGACCAAATGCACATACACAACACCACCTCAACACCTCTCACACTTTCAACAACCAACACTACCACACACACATACTGGCCGCACAAAGACACACCATTACTCAGCCAATCGCACTCTATCACGCACAACAACACTTCCACATACAATCCAACAGACACAAATACGACACATACAGCCACTCTTGCATCACAGCCCACTGACACATTCACAAACACCAATTCCACTACCTTTCACACCACTACTCCTATTTCAACCCTCACCACAAACAACCGCACTGCACGCACACACCCACATTCTGACGCATTACGCTCTATACCGGACATTGTTTACACTACCACTCCAGTTACAGCGATGTCTTCAACCGGTGGTGCGCAATCCCTCTCTACCGATAGTTTTAGGGAAGCATTGCTTTCATCAGCTACTGTGGACTTCAGTGCTGGAGAGAATTCAATGCAAATGTTTTTCCTCTTCGTTACTGCCACCCCACCGATGCCCACCATCGCTAGGCCCGTACTGGTCTCTCAAGGTAAGGATTTATCGCCTTTGTGATTTGCTACGCTGATATCAGTAACTATTTATCACGCTTTTGTCTGACTTTTAATATTAGCTCCTACGTCCTTCGCGGTGGTTGCCAATATCCTCCATCCTTGGAGAGAAGCGTACAGGGATCCGTCTTCTTTGCCCTCTAGGAATCTGTCGCTGATGGTTTGTGGAATGGTGAGTCGACTCCCTAACGAAAATTCTGTTTTAGCACTTCGCTAATCAATTTGCTTATGGCCGTCAACTGAACCTAAGATTTACGGCGAACCACATAACCTCAATAACATGAGCTTTGAAGACACATGCCTTCCACCTATCCTATCTAACGGACCCTTATCCAAATATTTGTTATTACTACAAGTATAGATTTGGTTCGTGAATTTGCGGTAACTCATTGTTGAGAACACCAGCCGGTAAAACATCAAATGAAGTTTCCGCTCCGTTTTCCATACTTGATGCAGCGTTTGCTGAGGTGTTGCGTCACACAGCTTTCGGGAACTTGACCTCCTAGTATTTTGTGCATGAAAGGTGGGTGAACTAGGAACAATAAAACCTTGCTAAATGCAGTTATTGGCTGGAAAGCGAATGTACTCCCGACTTCGTCTCTCTTCACTAACATCGTTTGTACGAAACTTGACTGTATGCGGATTTGTCTTAAATCATGACGGTCGACTTCGGGTCTCCACGGAAGTATTGAAGATAATGCTTCATTTATGCGCGCAAAACGTCACGTTTTACCTTCAAGGAAACTATATCGGCACGCAGATGGCGTGGCGTTGGGTAGGCCATTAGGCCCGTTGTTGGCAGACGTATTCATGGGTATAATTGAAAAAGGTAACATCACAAGATCGGCGACTCTGTATAAGCGTTATGTTGACCATATATTGCTTATTATGAATTAGGATGTGGACATTGAGCATGCGACCAAGACCCTTAACAAATCGCATTCGGACCTTACAGTAACGGGTGATAATGAGCAAGAAAATCGTCTCGCGTATTTAGATACACTACACGGCAATCAGACGGTTCCATCAGAAGGTCTGTTATACAGGAAGCCAACCTGGGCTGGTTAGTGTCAGTATTTTACGAGTTTCTCTCCTATTCAACACAGGCGCTCTCTCGTCCGGACAGTTCTATCGCACCCAAATGGTCTGCACACCTGACACGATAGAAGCAGAAAAGAATTTACTTTTCAATGCGCTACAATCCAGCGGTTACGCGCTGCAGTTCACTAAGCGCCTCAGTGAAACAACCAAGCGGGCTCGTGTGCCCACAGTTCCGAAGAAACCGATCTTCATCGAGCGACCGTTCAAAGATAACCACGTTATGAAGGCCACAGAGAAACGGATAAGGGCTTCACTCAAAAGGGTGGAGCTGCGGCTGCTTATGCCGACAAGACCTATGCTTACGTCTTTAATTAAGACACCGACGACGAGACAATGCAAGTCCCACTCTGGCGCTTAGACTTCGGTCAGTGCTCCCGACGTAGCTGTCTCCACAACTACAGATGAATATATATATATATATATATATATATATATATATTTATATATTTATATATGTCGAGAGCACTAACCGGTCTAAGCGCCAGAGTCAACGACTGCCGAGGAAGCTCGGCAGTCCCAAAGCACTTGCTTACCACCGGGCTCCGATTCAATCCTTATGAGTCATTCACAGTCCTATTGCGCGATCGGCGGTCTCACACGCTTAGGCCACTGGAGGCCATCGTTATCGATTGCAAGCAACCGCCAATGTGCATTTAAAAACAGTTGATTGTAACTTTAAGCCTACCTTGGTAGCGTGAATGCGGCTATTTAACATCCCTTTGACATTGTTGGTTATTCATCTACATATCATTGTTTCATGTTTTTGTGATAGCACGAAATTGCGACGTCATCCCACAACCTAGGTTTGCGGATTTTCCTGTTTGGAATTATAAAGGGAACATCTTGTTTTGAAATCTTTTTGTTCAGATGATGCACGATCAGTCGTGCAAATACGGATGGCAGTTGAAACATTGGTAGCTCGGATTGATCGTTACGGCTAGCACATGTTTGCAATCAAACTGCAAAGCTCGGCGAGCAATCCAGGATAATTCTTGTGGTATGTTGCGGGTATAATACATGGTAGTTCGATCTGCATGGTGAAGTCCACAATTACTAACAAAACTAGAAGCTGGAGAGCACTTAAAACACTTGAAATAAGGAGGTCGGCCCGTTCAGCTTAATTTGTGGCATAGCATCGGCCAGTAGCTCAAGTGCTTGACTCACAATGCAAGGACTGTCGATTCGATCTTTCGATTGGCCTCGTAGTATCTATAGCCAGCACACGAGAGCCAGTCACTGCGCAGCGGAGAAGAGCTGTCACGAGATGCTGGCATTCTGCCAATGCGGAGACCAACTGGTTCAGTAAATTTACAACTGCCGGTTTGCAAGCGTACATTTAATGGGAGATGACATCAACGCTCTTACACACTAGGGTGAATTGCCAGCATTCCGCGTCTATACGTGGTGCAAGTATGACGGCATACGTCGTTTTACAGTACACCAGGAACATTTCCGCATGGCAGATAATCCCACTGATTTGTGACAAACACGTCGATCGCAACATCGACCATCCCCGCACAAAATAGGTCATTACGAAGCCTTAGGATATCTCCCGGTGAAGATACTATTGAAACAAAACCAATTTGTATGTAGATGGAGAGGCGGTTACATCGGCAGAACCGAGAAGGAGAAGTTAATCCTCCTTCGACGATATGTGCCTGCGTAAGCCGTCATCGTGATCCATAGGCAGGCACACTTTGGCGACCCGTCATCAGGTTAATACCTTATGGGCGTTTCAAAAATTATAACGTCATACAAATTCATGCCTTTCGCGATTTGCCCAAGCCGTCGCGATAAGCCGGAGTAGACAAGCTTAATACGTTCAAAAGTAACTAGTTGTCAACCTGAGGTTGTCGTAGTCCTGATGCCAACACCACTGTGTGATTGGCCTGGTTATACACTTTGACACGCATGTATTTCTCAGTCGGAGAATACGTGTTCTTCATATAATTTGGCTGTTTAAAACTGATGTGGTTTTGCCAAGTTTCGACGTAATCCTTGCTTATGATTAAAAAGAGCTAATCATGCAGAAGATAGGATCGGGTCGTGCGGTTTGGCGAACGTGGTCCATCCGCGTTTGTTCGATTGATAACGTATTTGGCATTCCCAGCCAGACGGCGGGCACGCACCCTACCTACTCAACGTTCAACAAAGGTGACCATAGATCGGACAATTTTCCGACTGTTAGTGGTGTACACCAAGATGATTGTTGCTGTACCGGTGGTTGTCCAGTTGACACGTGATGTGAAAAACCACCGACCACATACCACACTATTCATATGAAGTTTTCTTTGAACTAGCCGTTCGTACACCCAAATTTAACACGAAAAATGCAGCGTACCATCGTCATTCACATAGTCTGTTTAAAGAAGCAGTGCCTTAAATATCTTCCAGCTAATGCGTGTTCACTGGAAGTAGATTGCTATGATAAGTGAACGTATCGATCCCCATTGTTCCTCCATGTGTCCCATCCAACAAATATTTCTCGTGCCGTTTTTAGCTTTTGAGAGCAATGAGTTTCTCCATAATCAAGGAGAAGTGGAGCTCCTGTAGAGTGGTGAACTTCATCCATGTGGACACGGCTATCAAGTTCGACACGAACGCAACTGCACTCAGCGATATCATTGAAGCAAGAGTTGTACTAACATACCCAATGGGGCAGGTGGTCCACATTACCCAAGAAGATTTCGCGGAAGCTCTGAATGAAATGGTCAAAACGGGAAAAGAAAAAGACTTTGGACAATTTTTTGATGGAAAATTCAAAGTAGAAAGTACGTTATCTGTGTCGTCCCGAAAATTCTGGTTTAACATGAGTACGAGTTAACACGAGAAAAGCTATGATATGATAGTTTGAAACCCCAAGACCATTGGTCCCCTACTCGCTATACCAAGCGTTGTTCGCGGAGCTCACTGATTAGTGGTCACCTCCTTAGTTTCGGTTATCTCAATCTGATGAGTTCAGATAAGAACGAAATTGCCCGTGGATTGCAGGGTGTAGAGCGAACAATCTCGAAAGTGTCCCCACTTCCAAATATTGTCTGATCACTAGCCAAGTGAAAATGTCATCACACCACTCGATACAGCCGCGCATGGTAAAGTCAACCGTGCGTTTGAAGGCGTTCGTAGTTACAGCATTTGAACCTTAAGACCTCTTGAGCCGTAACCTCGTGTTTCAATAAACAAAGCGTAGGCAGATGATTGGGAAATCCTAAGTGGACTGGGTCTACAAATTGCCGTGGATGACAACCTGTTTCCAGAAAAGGACAAATCATGTATGTAGTACCTAGCCGAAACGTAAGGCGGAAAAGCGCGATTACACAATGAATAGAAGACGTCCGCTTTCTGGCACTTACGCAGTGTTTCCAACTCACCTATGAGTATTTGCATTAACCGAAGTGCATTGGTCTCAACTCACATCGTGCCTGCTTCGACCGGTCCACCCAAATCGATGGGCTTTGCAGTTCACCTTATGGGCTAAGCACGAAACCTATGGCCTATCGTCCGCTAATGCGGTCATGTGACTGGACGTTAGCACCAATCCCAGTGAGCAGTTGACAGGCTGGCACATTGGCTGTCCACCTCATGCGAAGCGCCAGACGTGTCAATCGTATCATTGGCCCCAGAGTGTGAGCGTGTTGATGCGTGGGTGTGCTGCTGATTGTGATGTGCACAGCTATGGAGCGTGGCCGGTTCAACCTTGTGCACATGTCGGGGTAGTGTGCGTACGCGGCCGCACATCGTTGCCAAGACCCTGGCCACAAAAGCCATCCATTGGCCACTGAAGAGGGTGCAAGCCAAACTAACTAGCGGCTTGGCTCAAGTGGAACAGCTCCGCAATGCTACGTCGAAATTGTTACCCGGGCACCCTTAACCCGACGAAATGTGTCCGACCAAATGAAGCACTTGAAAGACAAAGCAGGGAGTATAACGAAAGAATGTACTAAACGTATGGTGTAATCGCCGCGAGAGTGGGCTACTGCTAAAAGTTGCTCTGGTATCCCGGGTTGGTTAGTTCAGCTGTTGTAGTGGTTGCTGAGCTGGACAGTTTGATTGCATTTTGTAACCATTTGAGTTGACATCATCGGCATAAGAGGGTTCATTTTTCACAGCAGAGGTTGGCAGAGGGCAACTCTGGTCGTAGCTCTCTGCATCACGTGTTGCAGTGTTTACTAAGCGTCCTGGAGGCTTTCTAAAATATTGATCACGGTACCCGAAGGAAAAGCGCGTATAGCACCACTAGCTGAAGCGAAATCAGTCTGCTCGAGCAACAGTTGACGAATGATGGCCCGTAGCATAAGAGATCACAAGCATGCCTGGCAATCTAAATGCGCGGGTTCGAGCCTGAGTAGTGCTGGGCGACCCTCGTTGTATCCTTAGCCCACGTGCGACTGTTGATGGTTACGCGGCGGCGAAGCGTCGATACTGTGCGCCGTCGTACTGTTGATGCCATTTTACAGGTAACAGGCAGAATCTGACTTATCAGGATGATTGTGTATGAGTCTTCGGTGGGAGCCATTTGACCATGTCTAGACAGGTTATACGCACAGGTGGTATCTATGCGCAGTGTTCGCATACCGGATAACTGATTATATGAAGTATGTTTCCCACCGTAGATGGGACAGCTACTATATTCATTATAGCCTTAAACAGCCGATAGGGCACGATGAAGCATTCATTGATAGGCTTGGAGAGCCTGTCGAGTATTCAGACTGTGGAAAACCCAGTTTGGGTCACGATTGTAGTTGAGATGGACCCAAATCATTGCAGGTACCGGACCGGCACAAGAGGTGGAGGAAGTTTCGGCCCTACAGTCTCCAAACACCATCCTCTACGACGGCTCTCATCGAATCTGATAGGTGTAGTAGGGGAAAGTCCGGGGCGTAGTGGATGGCCATTGGCATAATTATCACTTAGCCCCTGAGCTCCATTAGCGACCCACAAAACGATCTCAATCATCATCATTACACATTAGCTGAAGGTGAGAAATACACTTCAACTATTCTTCCGAATACATAGAGAAGACGTACGAAAAAGCAAGACACTTAAAATTGTGGAATGTAAAATCAGGCAGCAAACTACTTAGTAACATATTATGCGGTAGGGGAGAGTTCGTGGTTGGAGGAATGGGGAGGGACAAAGAAACTCACAACCTAACCGATATTGAGATCGATTTCTTACCATGGCAACAAGTGTACCAATCCAGATGTGTGCATTGTCCTTCAGACTCCATCCAAGCAGTAGGCTAACACTAACTGACGCCAACTTCGAAGTGAGGGACTTCATTCCTCGTGACCAAGTCATCGTTTGGTCTTCCCTCCTCCTCCATCCACATCCCAACCGCGCAAACTACACACGTCGCGGAAGTCGGTGTGGTGGCGTGCGTAACAAGTGGCCCAGCCACCGGAGCCTGGCGCGTGATGTAACGGTGCTGAGCGGTTCATTTGCCCTACCTGGACCAAATACACGACGCCGAACACGCTCATTGTTCACGTCATCCACCAGACATGAGCTAAGCTGCGAAGGCAGTGATGATCAAACGTGACTAGCCTCTTTATGTCTGTCGAGTTGACGGGCCAGGTTTCGCAACCGTACAGAAGGGTTGTAGGGACGGTTGCATTGTAAACTCTGTCCTTCGGGGAGAGAGTGATGTCGCGCTGACACCACAGGTAGCGGAAATTGGAAAAAGCTTCTCGAACTTTTGCTATGTGGTTTGTGATCTCACGTTTCATTCCAATGGTGCTAATATAGCTACCTAGATACTTGAATTTCTCGACGACTTCAAGCTGATCCTCACCGAAGGTCAGCACAGAGGCGGGTCCCTGCCAAATTTGGAGAAGTACTTTGCCCTCTGAGGGTGCAAAACATAGCTCCAAACGACTGTCGGCCAGTGCTAATTTGTCGAGTGCTATTTAGCACGTTAAGGAGCCGTCATAGATGAGGGTAATATCGTCGGCGTACTCCAAGTCAAGAAGTCATTCACCTGGGAGCAGCTCCCACACCATGCAAGTCGTGTCCAGCCAACACAGTTCCCATGAATTTATCAATGGCGAAGTTAAAAAGAAAGGGTAACAGCGGGTAGCCTTATCTCACGCCGCTGGAGCCACTGAAGCGCGGCGACAATTTGCCGTAAGCCCTTACTCTATCCGAAATATGCGAGTAAAGTGCCCCTATGACATTTACATACTTCTTAAGCACACCTTTCCTGAGTAGGTAGACCCATAGCGCACATCGATCAACCGAACCGAACGCACATTTAATGTCGAGGTACACGACTACGGTGGCTCACCGATAAATATGACGGTGCTCCAACAATTGACGTAGTGTGAAGATGTGATCGATACATCCGCGACTGTGACGAAACCAGGCTTACTGCTCACGTCTTTGGCATTGACGTATGCCAGCAAATCTATGACGAACGACAGAGGCAAATATCTTCGAGGCAATTGAGGTCGAACTGATCCCTCTATAATTGACGCATTCAGAACCTGAGCACCCCTCCTGAAAATTGGAACAAGTATCGTGCGGCTCTAGTCTGCTGGGGCAATTTCTTGTTCCCACAGCTTCACAAGTAAGTCGTACAAAGCATCTACAAGAGCAGGTCACCCGAATTTGCAGATAGCTGGAGGGATTCTATCCGTTCCTGCGGCCTTATTTACGTTCAACAGTCTGACCATACGTTCGACTGCTGCGCATGAAAGGCGATCTCAGAGTGGCTCTTTACTTCACAAATGTTTGAACTGTCAGTGCTTACTAAATTCTATACTTACAGTTACTGTATGAGATAGTAAGATCAAACCCGGCCAACAGTCGCATTCCAGGCGTTTTTGCCCACTTTGTCGATGAAGTGACCCATGTTCACTGGACTTCTTCGTCCTGTCTGAGCTGTTGTGCCCGCGTACCAGCACCAGGTCGAACTCCACGGGCGCTGGCAGGCATCAACTCTGAATTAGACGGTACGGCTGAATTGTCCCACTTTCTAACTATACTCATCTGGTGAGTGCGACAAAGTAACATGAATCAGGGACAGCGATCGTCTACACACACATGTCATAGGCACATTCAGAAAGCAAAACCGCGTCAGCCCACATCCTTTCCTCTGGGGCAAGGCAGTTCCACTAACTGCGGTTGTTCTCTGATTAAGGTTGATTCTTTTGGAAACCCTCACTCATCATCCTGCTGGACATATTACACCACAGCTTTTTATCTGCAGTATACTATTTATCATTGGCAGTTTAGGGAGTAAAAATTTAGGCTTAAGTGAGACAGACACGTCGAACGATTCTACGGTTACTGGCTTTCCACTTCAGAGTTCATGGCCAGAATCGTGGAGATTTACAACGCGGCCCACACCGTTCGAGGACATGCCTTCATTTGTCTTCACATCATCGTGACTGTCGGAGTGCTCATTTTCTCACACTACTAGCTCCCAGCTAGGTCACTCTCCGTGTAAATGGTGTCAAAAATCCCAAATAAATTGCTCGATTTTCCATGTTTACATCATATTGATTCTTTTATGCGTTCTCACTAAATATCTTCTAGGTGTACGATCCGCACGGCGTCTTGACTCTTATTTATTAAAACGCAGAGGCATCCGGTGGGTTAAATTTAAGTCCAAATACGTAACACCTCCAATAATGCCATTTCTGAGCTTCACTGCTTTTGTCAAGAAGAGTAAAATCTCCCAGGAAAACTCATTAATTCAATGGGAAGACAAGCCGAGCCAATGCTATACAACCGAGACATCAAGTGGTGTCAGGAACGTCCGTTTCAGGAACCCGTGTCCATACGACTAATACCTAGTAACGAATTCA